GAAGAAGAGTGAGAAGAAGAAAAAAAAAAAAAAAAGGGCATTTAGAAGCAATCAGCCCTAGGATATGATGGCCCTCAAGACCAGAACTAGATGGCGCCCATCTACCAATGCCAACCACTCAGGAAAGGATCAAAACTGGAGATCTTGGATAGAGTGGGAGGAAAAATGTGGAACAAAATCCCAAAACACAATAATGACCAGAATTACTGGTCAGATGGAGTCTGGTGAGACCCCATTACTATGGCCCTGGGATATATTCTGGGCCTGGAATAAAACTCACTCCCAGGGGCTGGCTGTTAGCCCAGTAGTAAGCAAGATGTACATGCAGACCACTCAACCCAGGGTGACACACTCACATACTCTATGGAAATGCATCCCTTGGAGCAATCGACCACGGGGCACCAGAGGGGCAACATTCCACAGAGGAAATGCAGGACACAGAGGAGTACATAACTATGAAGGGCAAGGCGGGGAGAGGCAGGGTTCCTGGTCAGGGAGGGGAGGAGATTGGGTTAGGGTTGGGGATGGTAAATGGGAAGTGAAACTAAATGTACACGTACTGTTGAATGTAAAAAACTCTGCTCTGTAAACTTGCACCTAAAGGACAAAAAAAAAAAAAAAAAAGTAAAAAATAACTGCAAAATAAATAAATAAATAAATGGTTTGGAGAAGTTTACCCATTGGAATTCAAATATATCAATATAATTTCTTTATAAGCTACTCTTTCTGATGTGGATATTAAAAAAAAAAAAGCTTAATTTTATCATTAAAATGTATGATTGTTTTGCCCATTTTGAAAGCAGATCATGCATACAGTATTTGCTACCCTGAAAATCAATCACATTGATAGAGGAGTCCCCTTGGTGTGATGAGCATAATTTGTTATGATATTTATGATCAATCCATAACAGGGCATGCATTTTCAGTTTGATGGAGGCTTATCAACCACGCCTATAAACTAACCAGAAGACTTGGAGAATGTTTTGGTTAATTTAACTTCCTGGTTCATGATGTCTTTTTGTTTCAACCTTATAAAGAAAAAACTTTCTACAATGTGTTCATCTGTGTTCTTGCCTAATTAAGTAGAGGGCATAAAAACCAGGGTTTTTAAGTTTTTTAAGTTCCAACTCATAGCAATCCGCACTGAGTTTCTGAGGCTGTAAATCTTTACGGAAGTAGTTTGCCTCATTTTCCTCCTGCAGAACAGCTTGTGGGTTTGAACCACTTAAGGAGAGGGCATAGAACATAATTAAATCATGTTTGTGTGTGTGTGTGTGCGTGTATGAGTGTGTGCAGAGCCTTGCATATAAGAGTCATTTTAAAAAAGATTAACTTACATCTGTAACATATAGTGGTAAGTAGGAAGCAGGACTCGGATGTGTACCAATCCTGAGATATATTGTCAGAATTCCTTGAAACATCTTAAAATCAAGGTAAAACATATGCATGCCTAAAATCAAATAGACCCAAAGGCTTTTAAAGAAAATCAACCACTTCCTCCTGCCTTACTGCTTCTAATTTCCAATTCTTCTCCTCAGAGAGAGTGTTATTTCTAATTCTTCTATATGTTTTTCTGGTTGTTACTTCTATATTTCTCAGCAATATATTTAATAATATGCTTTCATATAGCTATTTCTGTTTCTAAAACCATATTTAAAATATTTATTGATTTTTTTTGTTTTGCTTGCTTTTAAAAAGGCTTTCTCAATTATAAAATATATATTCATTTTTTATTATAGAAAGTTCATATTTTTTGGGGGCGGTTTTTGAGCTCTTTTTTTTTTTTAATTGTGATTTGGGTGAAAGTTTACAGAGCAAATTGGTTTTCCATTTAACAAATACACATTCTGTTCTGTGATATCCACTGTAATCCCCACAATGTAACAGTATTTTTCCCACTTCATCCCCATGCCCACTCCTTTCCTTTGTCTTTCCTTCCAATCTTCTTTCACCTTCAAGCTCTATCCCTGGGCAAATGCTGCCCTCTTGATTTTATATGGCTGATTGTTCTAATAAGGGCATACTCCCTTGGTATTACCATTCACCTCATAGGCCTTTCTATTGATTGGAAAGCTCATACATTCTTTACCAATTGGCAATGAATCGACTCCAACTCATAGCAATGCCTTGTGTATAGGAATAGAACTGTGTGCCATAGGGTTTTCAATGACTGATTTTTTATAAGTAGATCACCAGACCTTCTAAGGCTCCTCTGGGTGGATGTGAACCATCAATCTTTCAATTAGCAGCAAGCACATTAATTATCTGAGCCATTCAGGGACTCCTTATGCATTCTATTCTACATAAATACCTACTTGCTCAATTTCAGATATCATCTATTTATTATGTTATGGTGGCATAGTGACTATAGCATTTGACTGCTAACCAGAAGGCTGCAGTTTAAACCCACCAGCTGCTCCACAGAAGAAAGATGGGGCACTTCCCTAGTGATACCACCAAGGAGGGATTGCTATGAGTTGGATCCAACTTGCTGGTAGTTGAGTAGTA